TTCTAATCTTTTATTGACTTCCTGATTGGTCCTCACTCTAACACCTTCTTCTTTTTCTTCTTGTGCTTTTGTTCTCCTCCTAGGTCAGGAGCTCTGAAGACTGTTTGCCTCCCTCTTCAGGCCCATTTTGGAACTGCAGCTTCACCGTCAGCTAACAGCTAACCGAGCAGTGAGACGAGTTAGTGAAGCGGTGCTGTGGTTTGTGTTCTGACTGTTGGATGGCCACAGGAGTGAACTACTGGAACTCTTATGAACCCAGTCGCAAGGTGAGAAAGTCCCGAAGGTTCTGATTGGCTAATTGGTCAAAACATGGTGCTGACATCACACGAGCAGCGGGGTTTGTCAGTGTCATCAGGACTGCAGGGAGTCTGTGCGAGCTTGCAGGACTAACCTTTATTTGTGATGACAACGTGTTGCAGGTGAGAGAGAGTGTGTGGGGAGGTGAACAGGAGTCGAGTAGTGAGGAAGGAGGAGGTGGAGAGGGCATATGGGACACACAAGCCATGGAGGTCAAAGGTCAACTCATCTCAGCACCTGGTGAGAATAAACGCTGGCATGTGGTGATGCTACACTCTCGAGTGTGTCTGTTAGCTGTCTCTTACGTGTGTGTGTGTGTTGCAGACCCTCTCACCTGCCCAGACAGGAAGCAGAGGGAGCGAATGGTGGAGCTACAGGAGAGGAGGCGGAGTCTCCAGGCGCTGCTTAGCAGCCGATTGGCTGAGCTGAGACGCATCTGTCTGCAGGAAGCTGTAAGTGATGTCATAAGAAGAGATGACAATATGACACTGACAGCGCATTCCCACCTAAACCAAAGTCTTCTTCACTCTCCAACTGATCCTTTTATCCCTCTCTGCAACTAGTCCTCTCCACGTGGTCTTCAGATGTCTTTATCTGGTGCTTGAACCTCCTCAGATGCTCTTTTTATGTCTCTAACTAGTCTTCTCTGTCCAGCCCCCAACCTCCGATTACTTCAGCCGACTCTACCTTCGTTTTTACTTTAACAATGACTGAAGTAACTGCCAGATAGCTGTAAGTTTTCCTGTGTTTTCCTGATCAGGAGCTGACGGGTGCAGTGCCCAGTGATTTCCCCCTGGAGGCAGGGGAGAAGCCCCCCTGTGTTCGTAGGAGAGGTGGGACGTCCCGCCAGGGAAACAGGAAGTGTCGAGTAGAGGTGAGGAGCTGAGGAGGGATTTCACTCTAAATAATTTCAACAGTGGTGGAGAATTTTACTGTTCCTCTGTGTGTGTGTGTGTGTTTTTGTTGTTGATGGAACAGTTTTGACCTTCATGTGTGTTTCACGCTGAGGCAGTCTGTTTGTATATCCCTGTGCGTGCATGTGTTGGTGTGACCTTTAGGTATTTGCGTGTGTTTTTTCTTTAGGAGGAAGACGCTCAGCGTTCGAAGCCGAAGAAAAATTTATTCAG